GTTAAGAAATCCTGCCAAAAATAAAAGATTCATGTAGAGGAATTTATCAAAGAGGATAGGAGTACATAGTTGAATTAAAGGTATTCTTTCAGAATAAAAAAAAGTTTCTACAATTTTTAACTGTAAAAAGATTAGGCATTGTAACTAGTTAAATTGTGAGGACTCCTTGATATAAATATTAATTATATTAAATATTAATATTTTCTACAATTCCAACTGTATGTTTATTAAGCATTGTAGCAAGTTAAATTAGGGGTATTCCTAGATTTAAAAAAATTCTTTCTACAAACTGTACGCAGTTTATGCATACCATATATATTTTATACGTTCAAACACTATTCGTCTCGACAGTCACAACTATTAGAGGTATTCCTGGCTTTCTTAAAAGTGAGAACTTAACTTAACTATAAATAAGTATTAGGAGCATTTCTGTAAACACGCAACTCAAGAGTAAAATATTGTAAATGAAAATATCCCTCACAAATAAAACAAAGTGCTTAGAAATATAAAACATAAATCCTGATATATATTTCTTAAATATTTTATTCAAATTAAGCTCATTCCTTGCTTTAAAATAATAAAACATAATTGAAAAGTGCAAGTCGTAAATGAAAGCTTTCCGCAATGAAATTTTTCAACAAGCCCAAACAGTTGGAATTGAATGCTGATTCAATTAGGCAAATGCCCCCTCCAACGCCCACCTGTACAGACAAGCAACAATAATTTAAAAATCGAACACAACTAACTGTTAATTCAATTCATAATTATTTGCAATTTTTGCCTTGCCTTTGTTTGCCTTTGCTCAATGTTGTAAATTTGTTACGTCCATTATATTTAATTTCGATGCGATTCAATACGTTTCGATACGAATCGTTTCGTTTTTTTTTTTACTTTGTTTGCACAAGTCATTAACCGCATTTCCCACAACTTTCCACAGATATATATATATATATATTTATAGATATACATATCTATATAATGAGTAATTGCAGTGCTTTGTAAATGATCTATAAACTGTTTTTTTCTCACTGCTCTCGCTCTCCCATCCTCTCATAGATATTCGCAAGCGGGCTCAACGCACACATTAAACAATTATTGCGATACATCGGATAATTGGACCGATCATGATATGGACATATATATGGCCCGCAATCCAACAACGCGCAACGGCCTGGTGCCATTATGAGGGCGACTCATGTTATCCTGATATTTCAATGTTGTATTAAATTTGGATGGCATTTTCTGACAATATCTGACGCCGGCCAATGGTCGGTGTCAGCAGCAACAGCAACAGCAACAGCAGCAACAACGGAGAAACAATCAGCAATTGCAACAGCCATATCAACAGCAACAGCAGCAGCAGCAGCAACAACAGCAACAGCAACAACAACAACGTTTACAATACTATAATACACAACGCTGCAGCTCGCCGCCTGATGTGGTGCCACGTGCAGCCAACTTTCATAATAATAATAACAACAACAGCAGCAGCAGCGGCAGCAATAGCCATGCGAGCAACATCAACAACACTCAGCAACAGTCGCTAATGCCAGCAACAGCAGCAGCAGCAGCAGACGGCATTATTGTTGAGAACTATTTTAACGAATATGAACGTCAGGAAATCATTTATCATCCCACAAGCAGCAACAACAACAGCAGCAGCAATAAGAGAAGCAGCAGCAGTCGCGGCGGCAATGCCTTTCGTTTACAGTTAAATACGAATAACAATATTTTATATAGTAGACGCAACAATTATTTAATAGATGCAACTAATGCGCATACATTTAGTGATAACTGTAACTGTACTTGTAATTGTAGGCTAAGCGAGCAGCAGCAACAGCAACAGCAACAGCCACAGCAGCAGCAGCAGTTGCAGATAGCAGCAACAATAACTGACAGCAAACGCGTTGACACACAAACAGCAACATGCTCAGTGTCAAGCATTCAGCAAGTGCAACAAGAGACAGCGGCAACAGCAGCTGCAACAACAACAACAACAGGAGCAACAGCAGCAACAGCTGAGGCCTTGACATTGGCTGACATTGAAACAGACTTGGACAACAACTTGGAAACGCTTTGAGTGCAATAGCCAGCTTTAGTTGTTGCTGTTGAAAATGTTGCTGTTGTTGCTGCTGGTGTTGCTGTCACACAAAATTTGCATAACATTTAAAGAAAACAGAAGAATATAAATTGACAACGTGTCCAACTTAGCTAAACTATTTTTGTATGCTGTTTAGAATGTGCAATCAATACACACACAAACACACACACATTATATTTGATTTGTGTATATATATATAAAACTGCATCTGCAATTTGTAGCTGCATCTGCAGCAGCGCTTTCCTTTGGTTCTTTGTCGTTGTGCGCGTAGTTTTTGGTCTAGCAGCAATTGTTAAGCAATCAAAGAACTAACATATAAGTCATATATCTTATAAATGGTACTAATACGAATACGAATACCCACACACAGACACACTGAATAGCTATTAAACAAAAACTAAACTAAACTATTTAATGTAGCATAGAAAGAATTATAAAACAAAAAAAAAACATCTACAAAAATCAATTCAAAAATTGCGATTGGACAAGTTTAGCAAATAAATGCTTTTAATTTAAAAATAATTATTTTTTAATTTTTATTGAAATCAAAATATTTTTATGTTTCAAATTTCTGCTTCAAATATTTATTTTCTTAAAACATGAATTATTTATTATTTGGCCTTTCCTAAATATATAAAAAATCAACTAAATTTGTTTCACATTAGCTTCAACAAAATAAACAATATGTTTTATTTTTACTCTAATCTAAGCACTAAACAAAAGTCTGAATACATTTCGAGTCAGCGTTCCAAAGCAATGTAAAGGTTTTAAATATTTTATTTGCTAATCTTGTCCAATCACAACAAATAAATAAATAATAAAAAAAATTATATATATATGTTTATATATATATATATATATATATATAAAATTCCAATATACTGCCTTGCATATAATTAGTAAATTATGAGAGTTGAAATATTCTCATTTTTTGTCCAGCAACTTTTTATTTGCAGTTTTTCTTTATGATTAATTTCAAGCTTTAGAATTTACATATTTTGTATAAAAGCTTCAATCGAAACATGTTGTGTGCTAAGTTCGTACTTATAACAATTAATTGCTTAATTTTTATGTTTAATTTTAATTTTTTTATAGTGAGATTTTAATAAAATTAAAGAAATATATATTAAAATAATTTTATGTTATATGAAATTTTCATTATTTTTTCTTTTAGAAAAGAGACAAAATCAACATTCAGTAAGTCATTTTATAATTTTATATTTTTATTATACATTAATTTGTTATATATTTTAATTTTTTTTAATTTTATATTATTTTTTTTTTAATTTTAGGTTTAACGTTTTTTTAATTATTTAAATATTTCGAATTTAGATTTCATTTTTTAAAATTTTTTTTAGCATTTTTATTAAATTTTTTTATTTTTTGTAGATCTGTAAATGTGTGTACATAAATTATTAGTTTTAAGCGGTCTCATTGAGTTTTAGAGCATTTTTAGGAGGGGATTTTGCGGAAGAAGCAAATCCGAGCGAACACAGTTGACAGTTAACAATATTTAGTGCCGATGGATAGGATGAGGGCCAAAACATGGCTCACGTTCGCAACGTTCATGCCTGGCACTAAATACTTAGTCAAATAAGCTATATATACATACATATAGACTATATCTAATTAGACTTCGATTTAAGCAAACAGTTAAGACAACGCTTTGAGCATTAGACAGGTAAACACAATTTAGATGGAAAACGGGAGCAATTATTTAGAGCAACAATAATAAAAGAACATTACAAATATATTAACTATGATATATAAATATATATACATATAAACAAACCAAAATTGTAGGCAATAAATTTGAAAGAGAACAAAGTGGAGGCGAAAGTGGAAGAGAAGATAACACCCAACAATTCTTAGACTAACATTTAATTATAGAGCAAATGCAAATGTTTCACTTGTAAAGTAAGCAAAAATAATTCCATTGATCGATAGCTCGGCAAGATGAATGTTATCGATCAACAGCATAGTTTGTAAGCAATTTAAAATCAAATTTAGTATCTAAACATAATAAACAATGAATTAAAATTAATAAACTGCCTTAGCACCGACGCGAAAAAGAAAAGTTTGAAGTATAAGAAAAAAAACAGCACAGGCTTTGTTTTTTTTTTCAGTTTTAGCAGCACTTTAGAGATTCGAGATGAGCCAGATTTAATGGAAAAGGAATATATATACTGCCAAATATTTCTTTATAATTTTAAAAATATCGCAGCTATGATATTCTAATTTTTTAGTTTTTAGATCATTTTATTAAAAACTTTACAGTAAAAATTTATTTTTCTCTTTCAAGTCCCGTTGAAATAAATGGTACTAAAGGACGTGGATTATATGAGGGTAGTTTGAAGAATTTTCAAAACAATAAATAAATTCATTTTAATTTTTCTAACACTACTTTCTATCTAACAAAAATGATATATATATTATTTTAAAATATATATATAAATTTCAAAATTTATCTCTATCATATTTATCTTTATGTTAGGGCTATATACTTTTCATACTGCCCTCGTACATTTCACATTAAGGGCCACACGAAAATGATATTATATAACGTTAACTTTTAGAGCTCGCTCATCTCTTAAACACCAAAAGCAAAAACCTTAGATCGTTAACGACAAACACCATCCACTCTTAGATTTTAGTACGGATCGAAGTTACTCTCTAAGCATAAATGTGCGTTAAATTGTTACTGTGTTTTAACTAAAACGTTAAATTTGCGGCTTCAACCAAAATATAATAAAAATATTAGCAAAAAGTTCTTTAGAAACCAGTTTTGTTTGTTAATAAAGAAAAAACACGTTTCTGTTCATACGCAACGAGTTCGAATAAAGCATATTTTTGTTAAGACTTAGTGCTTTCTTTATATCTGTAGGTTGGGGCTACTTACCCGGGCACCGTTAAACAATTGTCCCATAGTACACGTAGCTGACGCGTAAAGGCCGCCCACAACTGTGCCATGCCCTCCAAGCTGCCCAAATGGGCGTGGCAAGTGGCCAACAAGCAGCTAAGACGACAAACCAAGGAATCGGCAACGGCGCTCTTAATACGCATCGGATCAAACTGAAAAAACGATTGCCTATATATATAAAGTGGATACAGGGAAAGCAAAGAGAGTTCTCACCTTATCTTTGAAGCTCTGCTTGGCATAGGGATATAGTGCCAAGTCGGGATGCATATCGGGAAATAGATAGGCCAACAGTTCGGTCAGCTCCTTCTCTGTCATTGGGCCAGGCAAACGCTTGGTCAGGGACTCCTGCGAGGGCAGCTCGTAGCTGCGCTCCCTTCTGCCACTTAGCTTGTGTTCGGTTAGCTTATCCAAAGGATTTGTGCGCTCCGCTCCGCTGCTCATGCCGGAAAAATTACGACCCACATAAGACTCCAAAGAGCGTGTGACCTTGCCTACAGCTTGATAATCGCCCAAGCACAAGCTTAGATACGAGAAAGCCTCCACAGATAAATAGATCTTTCCCAGTGGCGCTTTTGAGGGCACAAAATCCGAGCGTTGTTCGCTGTCAAAGGTTACGCTCTCCGACAGCTCTGGCCAAGTGTAGACAAGGTAACTCTCAGTCGAAGACTCTGGTGCATAGCCATGCGGCAAGGCATAAAAATGCTGCACATCCAGACGCTCTACATCGCCATCGATAGCAATATCCTCCGAGCCAAGTCCATGATTGAACGGTACATACAAGGGCATGCGTATGCGAACTGCATCCAGCGTGTAGGTCGTACGCACCGATACCCTCGCCTCCTGGGTATACGACGAGGGCACCTTGTCATGGAAGAGCGTTAGTAGACCCATCAAATAACGACACTCTGGCGGCGCCTGTTCGAGTCCAATGAGTCTAAAATTGGTGCGCAGAGCGGGCGCCATGGCGACTCCAGTATAGAAATTCCATTTGGGATCGTGGATCTGCACAAAAATCGGAACCACGCTAGATACCTCGGCGGCAACCACAGCGGCAGCGCTCAAAAAGAAATTGAATTCAGACGTGGACTTCATATAATTCGTCGACGACGGCACAGGGTGCAGCAGCACAAAGCGTCGCAATCCATAGATCCTTGCCAGCGTATGCAGCTCGCTAGAGTTCCGTATGGGAGGGCCGAAGGTGTTCCAATTGGACATCAAGTCGTGATGGCAATTCGTGCGCTGCAAGCAGCCACTGGCTGGCTCGCTTTCGGCAGTTGGTGACCCTTTTTCCGTTGATTGTGCTTCGTAATAATCCACTGCAATGCTATTTCGCAGCATGTCGAGCCTCTCTGTCTCCACATGCCATTTGCACTTGAACAGCTCCTCCGGCTGCAGTGAAACGCCTACATCCACTGCCACCTCCCATTTCTGTAGCAACTCGCCCAGCTGCACATTGAACACTTCCCAATCCGAGTCAGCACTGAAGTTTTCGCGATAGAACTCATTATCGTCTATTTCTTCCGCCATTATTTTGATATATGTTTGCGAATGAACAAAGGAAAATAAACAAACAATAAATTGCCAGCTGTGTGCCTAGAGCTGCCACCCAGTTGCAAAGACTATGTGCTAGCTGGAGATGATCAAAAATACTAACATTAACCCTTAAGCATATATGTTATTTATGATTTTGCTATTGAAAATATATTAAATACATATATTAAATACAAAATGCTTAGCTCGTTCATTATCAAAAGATATCGTACACCAATTTACAGCGTTTGAAATGTACGATTATTCTATTAACATTAAGCGTGTTAACATTTTCATCGTTTCTGTACTCCGCGTTGCCAGACTCGTTAAGAGACCAGAAAACTTTCAAAACAAAACGCGTCTTATCGATTTATTGCCTATCGCATTTTCGGCACATCATGCGGCGAATGGAAAACATAAAACGTAAATAAACAAGAAATTTGAATTTTTAACAAATTTATAACATATTTTAACCAATTGATTGAAGATCGCACACGTGGACCACGTTTTCTATGGGATGCGGCACCTACGAGATTGTTTTTGAAGCTGTGGCTGAAAAACATAGAGGATTTGCGAGGTCAGCGAGTTAAAACGCACATTCATCGAGAAATGGCGGATGAAATGTGGAAATATGGGCCGACTCATACAGAAATCAAAGCCAAAATAGATAATATGACCAAAAAATATAGGTAGTGAAGGTGTGAAGAGTAAAGTATGAACAATAAACGAACTTATTCCCTTCTTTCTTGCAGAATAGAAATGACAAAATATCGAAATACGGGTGAACCTTCTAGATGGGAATATTTCAGTGAAGTGAAGGAGATTTTAAAGGAATCTAAATTGGTTAATTTAAGCCTATGCATGGCTGACAAATTTGGTATAACAATTTATATATCTAAACAAAACTACGTAATTCTAATCAATTTCATTGCAGACTTTTCACCTTTGGAGAATTCGGATAGCAGCGACTCAGGTGAGCCACACGAGAACCTCTTTAATCCATCTGCGATGGAGCACTACGAAAGGGATCCTACAAAAAGTCCAGATTCAACAGCCTCCATCAAAAGCGATTCAGCTTATTCAGCAGAAAACTTTCAGCCGACAATATTAAATAATAAGTCGAATAGATCGTCAAAAATATTACAAATAGAGGAAGCCCAGCTAGCCATACAGCGCGAAAAACTGAAAGTTTTAAAAAGCATTGCAGACGATTTATCAGCTATACATAGAGGCTTCCTCAAAGCATATAAACTAAAGTGATCGCCATTTAATTTGTTATTTTGACGGTGTACTTGCCATGGTTTCTTTTAGCATTAGCTTTTAATTATTATATGTAGGTGACAGCGTACCAAATCGTAGACTAATAAATTTGTTATCTCGTAAATAAAATTGAAAACCCCTAAATCAAATGAAAGCAAATTGGCAACGCTTCAAAGAAAAAAAAAACACGACTTAGTGCAACGATAGTTTTAACGATGTATGCCGAAATAAGTTTACCTGTGTGGCAGCGCTTGGAAAAGTGTGGAACGCGCTTTAAATAACGACTACGTTCGGCCGCGCGCAATTTTTTGATCGTAAAATGTGTTGAAAGTTTATAGAATATTAGTTTTCCGTAGTTTCGGTTGTAATCTAAACTCATGTTCGGTGTAATTATGGCATCGAAAACTGGGCAGGTCAGCTCTTCACTGGCTGCTGATAATTCAAGCAAATATAGGTTAAATTGCTGCTCATTAAAAAATGCCAAACGCGATTTAAAAACCACCATTTCATGATTTTTTTTGTTGAATTATAAATAAAAGTGTAAATAGTGAAATTATAAGTGATATTAAGTGATTGTATTAGTGCTATTACTGCAGCATGTGCTAGTACATTGGCAGTTGGGTTCAGACAGGTATTTCGCTTTTGGCATCTATATAATTCGTGTCAAACGCAGTTGCTTAAGTTCTTAAGTGTTTTATGAAAACTTGAACAATTCCTTGCATTAGTCCCCAATACAAGCTACAGCAAAGTGTAGCTCCAGCTTTAACATTCAGCATCTCATATCAAATGTTTGGCTGCTTCTTGAAATCTATATTTCTTTGCCGACCCACATTTAACTGTTCTTTTTGGTATTTTTTAGTTTATAACTGTTCTGGTATTTTGTCTGGTTTTTTTTTATTAATTTACATTCCATCCATTCCTTTACTTTTGCTGTCGCGGGGGCTTTTGCTTAAACGTAAACAACTTTTAAAGGAGCTTTAACCAACGACCAGGGTGGTCTCATCGGGGAACTCGTGGGTGGGCACCTCCAGGTTCAATGGCGCTGGGCCCTTGCGGATGCGACCTGATGCATCATAATGGGAGCCATGGCAGGGGCAATAATAGCCACCAAAATCTCCGGCATTCGCAATTGGCACACAGCCCAAATGCGTGCAGACGCCAATGACAACCAGCCACTGAGGCTTGACCACACGTTGCTGCAAGCAAATACAAATATACATATTAATAAATATACGATATATGAGAATTGGTTATATAGTCACATCGTCTGTCTCGGGATCACGCAGCTGGGAAGTGGGAACGCCCCTCTCCGTTTCGATCTCTGCTGGGGTGCGATGACGGATGAACAGAGGCTTGCCGCGCCACTTGAACGTCACCGACTTGCCTTCCGCTATGTCTGCTAACTTAATCTCAATCTTAGCCATGGCCAAGACATCAGCCGAAGCGCTCATCGAGCCAACAAAAGCATTTACCATGCCCTTGGCCGCATAGACGCCGCCAACGGCTCCGGCACCCACCAACAGATAGGAGAAGGCTTTGCGCTCCTCGGCGGTTTCGTTGCGACGACGCGTATCCTTCACGGAATCACGACGGTAGGCCGTGAAATCAGGCACCTGCAAATCACTGTGGGCCTGACGTGTGGCTGTAAGGGAAATTTGATTAAAATGTGATGCAGCATAACCACCATAGCGGGAACATATTGTGTTCCTTTTACACTCTTGTACGCCCAATCAGCTGTTCGCTGACAAGGTTATGTTGAAATTACGTAAGGAAATTGGCAAGTTTTGCCATTTAGACATAACAAACTTTGCAAAAATCATTTGTTGCTAAAATATAAGCTTGTGCTGCACACACTTTTGGATTTTAGCTAATTTCACATTATATAACTGGCTGCTTCTCGATCTCACTTCACTGCCTTACTCGGTGTTGCTTACCAACGGCTACTCCGGTGGCCCGCAGGCTGTTAGACAGCGCCTGTGCGCTAGCGCGCACATAGGCACAGGACACGGCTTTCATCATCTTGCGTATTGGGTTTTTGTTATTTCTCTATTTGTTTTTGTATCGAAAATCTCGTTGACGAGACCAACGTCGTCCGCTTGCTTTGCTGTTGCTGTGAAAACCAGTGTGACCGCAGCCTGTAAATGTGAGAATGCCAACAATTTTATGACAACATAATTTAAATGTCAAAAAAATACCTATCCTTTTCTGTTTGAAATTTACTTAAAAAATAAGCAATATATATTTGACTTAACATAAAAATTTTGGTCGAAATGTGTGTGTTTATGTATTTTTAGTCTTATAAAATTAACAACGTTAACGCATTTATGCGCTACGTTACGCCAGTTGCGTTACGTGCAAGCTTATTACGTAGGAAAGTGATGTTGGCTGCGCGCAAAGTTCGACTCACGTGAAGTTGGATGCATGCGCATATTGATCGGCGTAATTAATATGAGCGCGAAGTTTAAATTGTAAATTTTGATAAGAATAAATTAAGACTTTTTATATATTTTTAAATATATATATATTTCATTATTATTATGAACATATTTTATTATTATTATGACTTGATATGATTTGATATTACTTGCTGCTTTTATAAAGAAGCAAGATAGCGCAAGTCGTTTTTTTATATATTTTCCCTAATGAAAACGCATGCCAGTTTTCCAGGCTAATCAGTCAGCCTCCCTGCTCCCCACCCGCTGAGTGGCTGCTCATCAAGGTGAGCAACCCCTTTAATAAGACCGTGCCCCCTCTTAAATTACTTAACTGCAACAATTTAGCTTTCATCAAATAGGAAAAGGGTTTTCCTTAGGAAAAACCGGTTTGTGCACCCCCAAAAAATCCACCACCAAAGTTTTTCCGATTGCATTTTTGCCGTTCACAGCCTCATGATGTCATTTGCTGAAAATTCCCAATTTTGATGTACACTGAAAAAAAACCAACGCTTTATAAGAAAATTCCATTCAACTTAATTAATAAGCGCTACTTGGAAATATAAGGAATGAAAAACTATAAAAGAAAATATTTGCAAATTGTTTTGTTCTGCGCTGATCTCATCGCCCAAAAACAATAAAACATAAAGTCCATAAAAAAATGCATAAAAAAGAGCAGAAAATGCGCATAAAAATGGGCAATGGCTGAATTATTCTCCAAAACTTTAAAGCAAGAAGCCTCAAAAACAAAAATAAAGCTGTAAAAAAGCAGCTACGCACAGCCGGCAAATGTAATTCCTTTGGCGCCAGCCCTGTGATTATCGAAAGTAGTTCTTTTTGATGTCGAAAGTTTGCCAACTCCCCGCCCAACCCCACTCGATGGCCCCCTTCCAGCCGTCGCTAGGTGGCGCTGCGAAAGTGAAAGGCGAAAGCCGAAATGCGCCTGCTTCCTCCATGGAGCCAGCATTTTGGCCAGCAGGGCAATCTGCGCACATAAAGGCGCCTCTATGTACTTGCCACAACACTTACACACACACACACACGCATAGAAACACCCACACGTACATATATACACTCTATCACATTCACATAGAGCGACGCACAAAAAGTGCGTGAATTTTTGGGCAAAACAACAAATGCAAAAAGAAATTCTACTGCAGCTGCAACGAACTTGAAATACTCTCACTTATGCTTTGAACCAAATGCAAATAATTGCAAGAAAAAGATAAATAATTTAATCTAAATATATTTGGGCTCTGTTAATAAAGTAAAGTTAATAAATTAAATATAAACTAAAAAAATGATCAAAAAGTTTAAGTTTAGCTGAGATTAAAAACAAATTAAATTAAAGTAAAATATATTATATATTGATATTAAATTAAAATAGAATATATTTATAAAATATAAAATGCTTAAAAAATTAAGAAATTATGGATTTATTTGACAATATTAAATAATTAAGGCCAATAAATCAATGTAAATTACAAAAAAAAATTAAAATGTAAATTACAAAAACTTATACAAATTCAAATTGATCTCAAATAAAAAATTATTTTTTTGTGCATATATTAAATATTAAAATGATTAAATGTTATACAGAAATAAAATTTTTTATAATTTCGTGTTTCTGCTAATATTCTGCAGTTGAACATAATTGTCTTAAAAATTTCCAAAGATAAAAGTATTAACAATTAATTTATTTAAATTTTTAAAACTTTTGTGTTACGTGAAAAATTTACAAATTTCGAACATTTACATTTTAATAATTACTTTTTTTATAACATTAAAATATTTTAATTAGCTAAGATTTATGTCTTATTTTAATATACATAAAAGCTCGTATTTTCAGCTTAATATTAATTAAGCAAAGCATAGCCTCTCCGGTGAAGCTTAGCTAAGCCAACTACTGCTACTTCTTTCTCTTTCTTTCTGCTTCGTTCACTTGCATCTAATAGCCAACTAAAGCTCTTTCAGTTAGTGTATTGCAACATCACAGCTAAAACTATGCCGCGTAGGCGACGCAGCAGCAATAGCAACCAGAACCAGAACCAGAACCAAAAACCAACTTCCCCATCTCTGCTTTACCCAACACTAGCGCCCCACACAACGCCCAACGCCCACAGCCCACCGCCCCCCGCTGCTGGCGTTAACTGCGTTACACTTTTCAGCAACTTTTACATTGGGCGCCAACTACAACAACAACAGCAGCAGCAACAACAACAACAACAAAAACGAAATGTGAGCAACTGCTTTTGCCTCCTATTTTTCAACTGCTCGCCCACACACAAACTGAGCGCCAGGGGCTGCTTTTGCTGTTGTGTGTGTGTGTGTCTGTGTGTGTGTAGCGTGTGCAGCATTGCGGCTGCGGCTGTGGCAACAACAACATCAACAATGCCAACGACGACAGCAACATTGCCTGCTCGAGCCGCTTATCGCAACATCAGCCAAGCATAAAGCTCAATACGCACAACCACCCTGCAGCAGCAGCAGCAGCAGCAACAACAACAACAACAACAACTAGCATTGCCCCGCCTGCCCACCGCCCCCTTTGACGAAAGTTGAAAGTGGAAAATTGTGCGTGGCAGCCAAAAGTTTCGAAGCTGAGCCGAAGCTGAGCTAACTGCCTGATTGACTGACAGACTGACGGACTGACTGACTGACTGACTGACGGACTGAGGGACTGACAGTCAAGCAGCCACCTTAAGCCCCGCTGCAACCCCTCGGCACTACCTTGCGCCATGCAAAACCCATTTACTCCTTGGGCTTCGGCTTCTCTGAAAATTAAATGAATAAGCAGCTCGTTCTGTGCAACGCCAACACTGGGAGAGTGGTGGGCCGGCTAAAGGGGGTTAAGCTGTGGCCTGGGTCGGGCGGGGATGTGGCTTGTGGCATGTGCAGCCTTTAAGTTGGTCTGTGTCCCAGTCCCAGTCACAGTCCCAATCCCAGGAGCCGCTGCCAAATGTAGCACAGCTGGCAGTCATTTTTGTGCGCCTCACTGACGGTTTGCATTTAAAGTTATTATGCCACAGGCTAGGCTCTATATAATATATATATTTATATATATATATATATATATATATATGTGTGTGTGTGAGTGTGTACATGCTAAGGCTAAGCAGCTGCTGTTGGCCATATTTGGTCCAGCCAAGATTAGGTGACCATGACAATTGCTCAATTGTCAATTGTCAATGGGCAACGGGCAATGGATCAGTTCAATGGCTTCCCAGCAACAGCTGCCCACATCTTTGATTAACCTGTCTTAAAGAAGCTTGAACAGAAATTCTAGAAATGCAAAGCTAAATTTAAAATACAAAGAAAATTAAAAACAAATAGAAAGACTTTAAATTAAAAAAAAAAAACTTTAGTTGGGAGAGCTTGACTTGAAGATACCTTGACCAGCAGTATAGTCATAGCTCCACTCAGCTGCTCACCCTGCTCGATAACATATTTATTATATGATGTCTGCCACGCCTTCTGCTGCCTTTTATATAATCCATCATACTCAGACTTCCAATTTTCAGTGGGTTCAGAGTATTACGAATGATCAAATATTTCTCAGCCTTCAGATTCTGCGTTTGCGTTGATTATTTTCTATATCATGTGAATTAGAGTCGCTTTTTATACCTTATGATATATGATAGTCTTGTTAAAATGTGTATAACAGGCAGTAGGAGGCGTGGCACGTTATTAAAAGCCAAATCTCAGGCTTTATAGTCAAGTCGATGTAGCTCTGCCCGCCCAACTGTAGGAAGCTGTGCGAGCCAAAGACTTGAAATGTCCACACACAAGTCCGTAATTGCAAGCGTAGATCATGTTTGTTTCAAATAATCGATAACTTTTGCTGCTGCAGCTCAAGTTTATTTCAAATAATCGATAACTTTTAGTGTTGCAATGAAATCGATTAAGAACTTAATCTAACTTCAGCTATCAAATCATGTCTCTGCGTCTTCAGAGTGTTGAGATTTACAAATTGTGAATATTTTAAGCAGTTTGAGACAGAATTGAAACATTTTTCAGTCTAAAATTATTTTGAACTTAATTTGCCTAAGCTTATGTGGGCGTTTATATGTGTAACTGAACTTGTGTATTTAGCTTATGCTTAAGCTCAAAGCCTATGCTGAGTTTGTAACACAGATTGGCTGGCTGTGAGCGTATCTTATAGTCAGGCAGTCCCGATTAGTATTTGTTTAAACTTTTTTTTATAGAAATTGAATATTCTGAAAAAATGTTTTCTTTTTTATAAATAAACTTTGAAAAGTCTAATCAAAAGAAATTCAAAACAAAATTATTATTAAAACCAATTTTTAATTTGTTCAGGCTATAAAAATCGCATATAAAAACATTTTTGAAATAACTGTTTTTGAGTCAAAATCTGCATAGATCATTAAATGTAAAAAAAAATCTTTTTTTTTGGAAAATTATTTTTTTTCCATGTATTTACATTCAATTATACATTAAAATTTGGAATAAGTATTAAATTAAAATAAATTTCGAATCGGGTTGAAATTGGAAGAATGTTACGAGTCAGAACAGGAACATGTAGACAACACTATATCAAGAATAATAGAATCACGAACGATCTTGATAAATGTCATTGGAGCTTGGTAGATATTATAGTTCATCTGCCAGGAGACGCTCGCTGGCTGTGTCATTTTCCTTGGCATCCTGGCCATCCCAGGCCGAGTGGCTCGCTATTTGTGGGATGTCATCGCAATCGACTGCGGTTAGCTTGCCACGCCCCTTGGCAATGATGGCCAGATAATCGTCGAGGGCCTTTCTGCTGAAGGCGCCCCTGAAGAGGCCCATTTTCATTCGATTGCAATTGACCACAGCTAGAGCCGGATACTTGTGATTGACTCGCAGGCCATTCTCGAGGGGCAACTGACGCGCCGCCTCGCTCCAGACCCAGCCCCAGCGCTGCTTCTTGTACTTGGCGGCCACGCTGTGCAGTTCGATCAGCAAATTGTTCCTGCACTCGGCGTTGCATTCGGTCAACGGGGGCAGGAAGGCTAGCATGCACCAGTCCGCGTTGATGCACGCATTGTACAGCTTCTCCTTGCTGACTATCTCCACGATCTGGGAGGGCAGCCCGAGCGCCTGTTGCTGGCTGTTGGCCCAGTCTACGATTGCTTTTGCTGTGCGCTCGGCACCTTTATACTCCTTGGCATCAGCCGCATGCTCCGTCTTAGTAGGAATGTAGAATATCGTGGGATAGCCCACCACTTTGTACTCGGCTGCCAGTTCGCTGAAAGCGCTGGCATCGACTGCACCCACTTTGCATTTGGTCTTCAGCTCCTTGGCCACCTTGATCCATTCGGGCGCCAGGTTCTTGCAGTGTGGACACCAGGGCGTATAGAACGCCACCAGCCAAATGTCATCCGATTTGAGCACTTGCTTCTTGAAGTCTTCCGCCTGCAGCTCGATTACGTCGCTGTCAAAGCAAATGCTTTCCTCTTCAGGTGTTTCAACATTCTCGACGCGGCCAATGACGTTTTTGATCTGGTTCTTGACCACAGACAGCGCTGACTCGGCAATCGCATGCGCTGTGCGTGGCCCAATGTAATTGATCGGCTTCTTTTTATCGGCACCGAAAATTTTGATCACTGGAAAGCCGCGTACCTCATACGTTGTGCTTAGCTCGGCATTTCGCTCTCCATTGACCGCGCCCAGTTTGACGACGCCGTTCAGGGCCTTGGCCAACTTCTGGTACTCGGGCACCATGGCACGACAGTGACTGCACCAAGCTGCATAGAATTGTACAACCCAAATGGCGTCGTCTTGCAGCACGGTGCTCTCGAAGTCCGAACTGGTTAGCTCAACAACGCCATCTGACGGCGAGTAGAGGCCGCTCGACTGCCCAGCGACTAGCATGAAGACCATAAAAATACTGCACAAAGCGAGAACCGCAAGGACCCGAACACTCCACAATTTACTTAGCTTATTCATTTTCAGTTCGTATCTATACATACATATAAGTATATAAATGCACAATATATAAATATTTTATATATATATAGTAATTTGTGTTTTACAAAGAATAAATTTCAATTCTTACGCAAATGTTGAAATGAACTTGTTGAAATAAACTCTTGAATTGTCGATATGCCAATGATCTGCTTCTCGTTTGAATGCCGTAAATGTTCGACTGCTCGTCTATAGGCAACTACGATGTTTGTTGACTTTACACTTAGCTTCTTTTGAAAGCAAATGTAAATATCTAAGCGGCTTGACGCATTTTTTATAATTCTGATCAGAAAGTTAAAGCTTAGTCTACTAAAGATGTAGCAATTCGCTAGATAAGTTTTTATTTTGAAACATTGAACACGTTATTTAACATATATCTACGCTCTTTCGGGGCATGGCATATTGATAATACCAGATCTTGCTTATTTTTACAAAATGTTTGAATGAAATGTTTGAAACTAAATAATACAGTTAATCAAGATAAAAAGTAAGTACGCTACTTTTTATCTTTTTCTAAGTTTTCCTGTTTTTTAATTCTTCTGCTATTGATTTCAGATAAAGTCTCAATTCTTTCCGAAACCTGAAACATTTCTAATTAACAATATTTCTTCTAATACAACAAGACTTGTTAAATAAATTAATCGATCATCATATACAACAATCTCTGGCCATTAAGTAGGCCTCTATATAGCTTTTGCTTGTACCAAATGCACATAAAATACCTAAGGAAGCTCCTGTTAAGCAGCTACTCTTAAATCGATATATATCGATCACTAATAAACTTTAGCTTGAATTTACATGCACATCTATGTTTGCAATTAATGTATATTATACATACATATAATATTTTATATAAAATGAAAATATCAAAAATAAAAAAAAAAAAAACAAAATATAAATATTAAAAATATTTATAAACAAAGTTTTTAAAAAATATAGAAAGCATGAAAAGCCAATGTTAGCGGTCATTAAAAATGGGTAATTCTTTGGAATCGTATATATTATTATATTAGAAATATATATATTAAATATATATACATATATATAGTATATTAGAAATATATATCCACTACATCGATCACTAACAAACTTTAGCTTGCATTTACCATCATGCACATCTATGTTTGCAATTATTTACATGCACATCTATGTTTGCAATTAATGTATATTATACATACATATAATATTTTATATAAAATAAAAATATCAAAAATATAAAAAAAAAAAACAAAATATAAATATTAAAAATATTTATAAAGTTTTTAAAAAATATAGAAAGCATGAAAAGCCAATGTTAGCGGTCATTAAAAATGGGTAATTCTTTGGAATCGTATATATTATTATATTAGAAATATATATATTAAATATATATACATATATATAGTATATTAGAAATATTTATCCACTATATCGATCACTAACAAACTTTAGCTTGCATTTACCATCATGCACATCTATGTTTGCAATTAATTTATAATATTTTATATAAAATAAAAATATAAAAAATAAAAAAAAAAAAACAAAATATAAATATTAAAAATATTTATAAACAAAGTTTTTAACAAATATAGAAAGCATGAAAAGCCAATGTTAGCGGTCATTAAAAATGGGTAATTCTTTGGAATCGCATATATTATATTAGAAATATATATCCACTATATAGTCCACTTGAACTATAGAATTTTATGCACAAATATCGCAAAAAGATTTGAAACCTTCAAGATCTAGATCACACATACCTATAAAATAAAGCAGCCTGGCGAAATATCTGTGCTTTATACTTTGTTAATATATAATGATTAAATTGACACGAGTGATATTTGTCAACGGAGGACGGAGAATCGAAAATCCCAGGACCAAGTCTTTCCCTCACTCACTTCGTCTGCCTCTGCCAAATTCGCACTTTAAACTTTGTTGACATTTTTTTTTCAATTTCAAGCTAGAAACTTGAAAGTTTTTCTTTCCAACAGCCAAAAGTGAAAAGAGCACAAATATATATAGTATATATGAAGTGAATAGAAAGAAAAACAAGCTGGCTCAAGAAGCGTCAATGAAACCTGCCCTAAATTCGCACAAGCGGCTTAAAACAACAACAACAACAACAGCAACAGCCGGAGAAGGAAGCGAAATATGAAATAAAAACAGGATACAAAGCATGCCGAATAGGAGAAGAAAAACAAGAAACATAAGGCGAACGCAGCGGGTGGTCCACAGGGCGTGTGGCGGGGGGTAGGCGTGGCACGGCTGAAGAACGTGTGAAAGGCGAAAGGAAACGTCGACGCTGCGTTTTTTTTTTTTTTTTGCCGTCGAAAGTCCTGGTTGCAGGACACGCACCAAAAGGAAGGCGCAGCACGCATAAATCTAATGCCAAATTACATTATTTTGTCATTTCCCCCCGAAAACCCAGCCCACGCGGCCCAGCTCCTGCGCTGCTGCAGTGTCCTGGCCGCCAGGCATAAAACACTGTCAAAAATAAACTTGAACACAAAAAGGAAAAAATGCAGAAAGGTCTTGGGGTAAAAGTTTGCCAGCCAGCAACAACAACAACAACAACAGCAACAACAACAGCAACAAAAAGTACATTATATGCAAGCATGCAAAGGGGGGAATGAGACGCAGTTGCCAGTGGTCGTATATATGTGTGTCTTTGTATGGGTGTATGTGTGTGTGTGCGTATGCGCTGGGGTCTGAGTCCTTGGGGTTGTTTGCCAAGTTCGCGGCCGAAGCCGAAAGTGAAAGTAAATGCAAGCGAGCCTCAAAAAACGAAGCGCCAACGCCGCTGCGCGCGTCGCAGTCGACGGCGCTGTTGGCGCTGGCGTGCGTGCGTGCGTTTACCAAATATCCTTCGGCACGTTGCTTGGCCAAGGACATTGCGGCCATTAAAATTGGAGGCATTCAAGCTTTTTCGTTTTCTTGAGACGCGCGACTGCAACAAAAAGAACTCAATCGCTCGCTCGCTCGCCCACTGTCATGCGCTCGTTCTCACTCACTCGCTCTCCCTCCCTCTCTCTCCTGGTCTGCTGCCAAAGCGCACTCGCTCTCTGCGCTCTCTCGCGTTTTGCGTTTGCGTATTGGCCAACTTTCACTTTCTTTGCCTTGTCCTTTGCCTTCACAGCTTTTCACTTTCGCTTTTCCGAAAACCCTGTGAAAGTTCGTCGTACGCGCGCTCTCTGTCTCTCTGTCCCTCTCTCTCTCCCGCCCACTCACTTACTGTCTCGCTTCTGCTCGCGACTTCCTGTCTGTGTGTGTGAGCTTCCGGTTTTGTTTTTACAACTGATAAGGCGTCAGCCAGTCGACTACCCAAAAAAGTATGCTATGCTTTTTACATGCGCTGCTTCGCTCTCTGTGTGTGTGTGTGTGTGTGTCTGTGTGTGTGTTGGTGTGTTTTTGTGTTTTTGTGTTTTGGGAAGACGACCAGCAGGCGCCCTTTTTATTGTTGTTGCCTCTGTGCGTTGCAAGGATCAAGGACGTTCAAGAAAACCGAAATGGGCTTCGGGCCTCGGCATATATAAAAAAAAGCAAAAAAAATGCAGGGCGTACAATTTTCATTTACTTCTACTGCTGCTGCTGCTGCTTCTTCTTCTTCTATGTTTTTCTTTGCTTTTCCTTTTTTTTTTTTTGTTTTGGTGGTGGCTTGACTTTGACATGGGTTGGAGTGTGGCGAGGTGGGGGGCGTGGTTGCTTGGATGGCTGCAGCTGCCTCTTCGGCTGTATATAACAGAAGTGCGTGTGCGCCTATATAATGCGTGTGCTATATGATATCTGTGTGCGTGTGCGTGTGCGTTTGCGTCTGTGTGTGGGGGGCTCTGCTGCTGCTGCAGTCCTTTATTGAGCCGACCGCCACCCACCACAGTCAGGCAGCCGAACGACCCGCTGCGTTTGTAATTTTCTCTTTTTTGTGCGTGTGCAGCAGCGGCGTCGGCTGCGGGGCTCAGGAGGCGGCCAAGGTGGTTGTAGGAGCGGCATTGTGACTGACGTGAAATGCTGTTCTTGCTCCTGTGTATATATATACAAATATACTATAGTATATAGCCGCTTTGTGCTTAGTTTTTTTTTTTTGGCAACTGCACAACAGGCAAACATTTTCATTGCTTTTCCTTTTGGCTTTTCCCTTTGGTTACTTATGTGGGTCGCAGCGGGCCTGCTGCATAGCAATGAGCTCGCTCTGCCTCTGCCCTTGCGCCTTGTTCGGTTAGTTTAAAGTAAAAGTTTTTGCTTTTGAGGTTTTTGCTTTTCAGCTCCTGCTCTGCGCATAAAGTGCGTGCCAAATGTCGCTTGCGGTTGGAGTTGGTTTTCCTCTTACAGTTAATTGTCAACTTAAAGCTTTCAAATATATATATATATATATATATACATTATATAAGTATATATATTTGAGATAGCCTACCAGGAAACGAAATTAATTTGGTCGTTAATGTGCGTCGGAAATGACAGCAGAAAAGTTCAATGTAATTGCGAGAGTCTAAAGAGATGAACTCGAATCAACATGGACAGCTATAGGGTTTCTTATCGTAGGCCCATGGCCATGAGTTAGTTTTGATAGTCTTATATACGACATTTCAGAGACTCTTAACGACAATCCATTTACTTTTATTTGGGACAACTTTAACTTGGTCTGATTATCGTGCTGGAAGTGAAAGGAAATTACATGAATTTAGATCCTATTTTCATTAGTATTATAAATATGATCATATAAATATAATTATATCATTTATTTTATTATCATTATCACTGTCATTATTATTATCATTATAATTATCATTTTCGTTGTTATTATTATTATCATTATCATTGTCATTATCATTATCATTATCATTATCATTATCATTATCATTGTCATTGTCATTGTCATTGTCATTGTCATTGTCATTGTCATTGTCATTATCATTATCATTGTCATTGTCATTGTCATTATCATTATCATTATCATTGTCATTGTCATTGTCATTATCATTGTCATTATCATTGTCATTGTCATTGTCATTGTCATTATCAATATCATTATCATTATCATTATCATTATCATTATCATTATCATTATCATTGTCATTGTCATTGTCATTGTCATTGTCATTGTCATTGTCATTGTCATTGTCATTGTCATTGTCATTATCATTATCATTGTCATTGTCATTGTCATTATCATTATCATTATCATCATTGTCATTATCATTATCATTATCATTGTCAT